AGATGGAGGACATGAGGTCAGAGTAGTCCGAACCAAGTAGTCATCAAGTCCAACTCCAATAAGAGCGGAGTGAACCTGGCACTTCCAAATGGAAAAGTTGGAGGACGTCAGTTTGATAGGGAAGTGGGTTGTGGCAGTGAGCGGAATAATGGTGGTGGTTGTGGTGATTACCATGATGAGTTATTCACGAGAAGGATTAAAAAATTGAATGATTTGCTCTTTGGAGAATGACTCTTGATAGCATGTAGAATTATGAATTGAAAGATATATTCAACTTGATCATATGATTTACAATGAGCTATATACAAGGGCGGATCTAACTCTGGGCCATGGGCCCATGGAGGGTCCAGGCCCAACCTAAAAAATACTCCGTAAATAAATTTACTAGTATATATATGTATTATACGCAGTGGCGGAACCAGAACTAATTTTGAGGGGGTGCTGAGATTTTCCGAAAATTATGTAACAATTATATTCGATCATTAAGTATAAAGTGAATTTAATAACAATAAATCAACTTAACCTGATGCATTTACTGAAATTATTACCAATTGGTTGAATTAATTGATTTTACTGAATTATGAAAAAATTATATTTAAAATAAATTTAACTAAAAAAAAGATTTTTGTATGAAAAATAGCTTACATGGTCATCTACGGTAACTTCCGTCAATTCATTTGAAAAATAACTCAAATCTTATTTATTTTGATTATTATATAATTAAGAAATCAAATCAAAAGTTCAGTGAAAAAATATCGATAAGACTTTATAAAGGGCTTCATCGATTCATCAAGCAAAAAATGTTATAATGCATGATTTTAAACTTATGCCATTATTGCATGTGTGCAACATACAAAATTAAATTCTAAATTGACGCATATTGCATATTTATCTAGCTCCTAGGAGTTAATAGGATATAACATCTCTAATTCTAAATCTTGATTTCTACAATTAATCAAAGACGAAATTCATGTAAATAATCTCTACTTTCTTACATTCTACAATAATAATCCGTACTTAACAAATTGATAAAAGTAATCCAAACAGATAAACTTGATCACATGAATAGATTAAATGAAATGGAGTTAATTATTCCGTCTAAGGCGAGCTCCTTTGTTTGAGAAACGACGCGAGAAGGAACCGGTGAGAGAATCGTGATTTCCCTGAACATCGCGAATCTAAAAAACGACGATGAACGATACTCGATTTTCTTCGTTTCCTGATTTAGCGCCTTCCCCGTTCAGCAAAGAACCACAACACACTAGCAAGCTCGAGACGAAGCTTAGAAATAGGATTCAAGCTACGATTTGGAAGAAACCGGTGGTACTCGTGATTTCAATGGAGTCGGGCAGAGTTCTCAACTAGTTCGGATACGCTAGCGGCGAAGTCAGCAGCTAAGGATCACCAAGATGCAAGACTAGTCATGGCCCCGGGCCGGGCCAGTTCCGGTTCCGGGCCGGGTCCGGCCGGGCTTTTTTTTTTGGAAGGAAGGCCCGGGACCGGCCCGGGTAGCCACCGGGTCCGGTCCGGGTCCGGGCCGGGCCGGGCCTCCGGTTCGGTCATATTTTTTTTTTTTTTTTTTTTTTTGCTTTCCTAACCCCCCCACCCCCCCAAACCCCTCCTAACCATCAAACCCAACCCGGCTAACCCCAAAAAATGAAAAAAAAAAATAAAAAAAAAAAAATCAATTCGGCCCGGGCCCGGGCCCGACCCGGCCGGGCCGGTTCGCCAAATACAAGGCCCGGACCCGCCCCCCCCCCACCGGGCCTAGGCCCGACCCGGACCCGGACCCGAGAACCGGGCCGGTTCCGGGCTCGCACAGTGGCGGGCCGGGCTGGTCCCGGGCCGGGCGGCCCGAACCGGGTCCATGACTATGCGAGACCCAGTAACTTCGCGAATCTCATATTTGTTTTTCGCTTCAAAGATGATTTTCGTCACCTTTCCATCAAACCCATGAACTGATTCAAGAGAAGGAACTAATTTTCAGTCAAGAAAAACACCAATAGACAATATCAATAACTCCGAATCCCTGAAACGGCATTCTCCATTGACGCAAAGAGTCTAGGTAATTTTTCCTACGGAGAGAAAGCTCTCAGCTTTTGCTCGACTCAGGCCAGGCATCTTCAGGCCTCAGAAAATATATTGTACTGTGAAGAGAAGTAGCAGGGCGCTGGGGATCAGATTATAACGGAAGGGTTACTTCCGTTTACTGTCGTCTATTTTTGTGAAGTGGTTTAAAGGTTTGGATTATTTTTATCAACTTGTTAAGTGCAGATTATTATTGTTGGATGGCAAGGAGTAAGGATTATTTACATGAATTTCGCCTTGATCAAACTTTGTATGAATATATCCCATGGTTTGTGCATAAGAAATATTGTGTAACCGAGTAATAAGAATGTTTTTACTTGGACTGAAATTTACGGGTCTGGTCTGATCTTGTTTGGTTTGATTTGAACTGAACTGGTCTTGTCTAGTAAATGTCTGGTTTGGGACTGAAAATGGTCCAAATAAAAACATTCTAAACTCCTGGTAGCAATACCCAATACCACAAACAAATAATCCTAGTTCCTAATATTTTTTAAAAACTTGCTTATTAAGTTATTTAAATTATCTCACACTATAATACATAGTATGTAGTACAATTTACACACCAATGAAGTCCTTTAATTCCTTATCTAGCTAGTTTGTCTATTGTGCATTCAATTCACATTTTAAAATGGGTCGCTCAGATATATTGAAGGTCGGGAGATCGGATTTTTATTTGGATCGTCTTGTTTTTGTTGCTGCCATCTCAATTATACATAGGGTTTGCTACTAAATGAAACGATGACGTTTAGAAGTAGGAAAAATAAAAACTCACAGTCAAACACGCGTTTCAACATAATGAAAGGACGAACCGACGGCAAACAGAACCGGAGCTCCAGGGGCGCTGCAAGATTACACATATACTTTACCTTGACATCTCCGGCGAAGGAGGGGCGCCGGCACCGGCTCGCCCCGGCCTGGTTCCGCCACTGATTATACGACATATGCAGTATTGTTAAATAATAGTGTAATTACGAAGAAAGTCAATTTGAACCTAAATTCCGTGTTATTAGTATAATGTAAGCTGATTGCCGTGTGCACTTGCATGGCTCTAGTTCCAATATCAATTATCAAGTTCAGCATGTCTGTTTAACTGTTCGATGTAGAGTGTGTATAAACATTTCAATTTTTTTTACTTCTAAAAATTCTTTTCTCACATTAGAAGAATAAAAGGATTCTTCCTTCAAACACATATTTTTAAACGTGGTCTCCCAAGTTTAATTAATACAAGCTTAACACCAATTTAGTCTGGTACTGCCAAAACATGGTAGTAATTAGTCATATTTTGGGAATAAAAACATGATAGTGATATTTTGAAATATACGAACGTTTTAGTCCTATTTAGGATAATTTCACAATTTGTAACTCTATTGTTTGCTTTGTACTCCGTAATAGTTATCGAAATATAATTTTTATTTTCTCTAGATCCCAATATTATTATTTTGTTAGCAATTAAAAAATAGATAGCTTAGACTTTTGTTAATTTTTTTTAATTTTTTAACAATTTGTTCATTCTGGTAAAATTTTTAATTTTTTAATTTTCATTCAAAATACTTTCACAATTGGGGCCGTTTGGAGCACCAAAAGTAGCCTGATAAGCCGGAAAGGCATAAAAATTGCCAAACACCTATCAAATTGGGGCCTTGGGCTGATTTTTTTTCCCGTATAACAGTCTTATACCTTTTTTATAAAATTTTACATTTAATCAGTCATTTCTATCAATATATTACGGAGTATTATTTACCAAACACTTTCATTTCAGTCTATTCAACCATTTCAGCCAATTCAACATTGCTGCTATTTACAAAAAGGCCCATTATGTTACAACAAATCTATACATTTGAGTACTTTGGCAAATTACCTACTAGTATAAATTTTTTTTGTGATCATGATTGGATCACATACTCTGGGCCAAGAGGCTCTCTAAAGTTCTTCAAGGTCATGTGATAGTCCAATATTATAAAAAAGCGTATTAAAATATTTTTGAATTGTAATTCAAAACTTTTTTAAAACAAAACAAAACAATATACTCTTAAAATGCACATTCTGTATACTCGAACAAATGGAATGAAGTTAAACATGTACTTATTCTCGTTGTATGACTTGTACTTTACGGAGTATTAAGTTTATGATGATATGTAATATAATTAATACACCGTAATTCCGATGAATAAATGAAGAAAGAAAAGTAGTCACAAATACTAGTATGTCACAACTTATATGGAGGGAGAAGGGAATAAACGCATAAGACATCCTTGATGTCAATAATTAAAAAAAATGACATCTAATGAAGTATGGAGTACCAAAAAAATATAGGAATCCAACATAGAAACATATGACATTGTTACATCATAACATAAACCCGAGCATAATTACATTTTTGTAATGCTGTCGAATACCCTGTTATCATTAGCCATAAACACTAGAAAATGCCTTCTACAATGTTTAATTATGATTAATGAATTATCATGTGCTTGAGATCAACAAAAACAATCCAATCCTCAACTTTCATTTATAAGTTTAAAATACAGCAAAATAACCTGCATATCGTAACAGTTGGCAAAAAAATATCCAATTGGCACTGTACAAATATATAGAGAAACATACATTTACACATTTAGATAATTAGAGGACAAAGAAAATATGTCCATTTTAGCTCTCCAATTATTCTAAAATAAATATATTTTGTACCGACTTTTACCTTTCTATATCTAGTCTTATACGGGTATAAAAATTACACTTATTATACTCAGTTGAAACTTTTTATATTAAGATTTCTACTTTTAACACAATAAGTAAATGATGTTTTATTAAAGGTTTAATGATGTTTTTATTTGAACTAAATTTTCTGATCTGATTTAATCGGGATTAGTTTGGTAATGTTGTTTAGTGCATAATTTACGATAGTCAAAATCTGATCAAAATAAAACCATTCAGAAACATTTTGTAATAAGCGTTTACACATTTATAATTGTCACGCGAAGGGGTAAAATTGAGAAAATTCAATACCAAATGAGTGGAGAATCAGATTTGAGATCTGATATCCGGTCTGTAGACGATGGAATTCCAGGAAGGGTTCCGAGGAAGAAAGGTATCGGAGATATAGGAGCAGGACGGGATAACGGTGAGCGAGTGTGCCTTGGCGTGGGAGAAGGCAGACTCCGAAAGAAGAGCGGCGAGTCCCAGGCCGCGCTTGCTGGGCGGAACGTAGGTGTGGAGAATATCCATGGCTCTGCCGCCCTGTTTCAGCTCGTACACCAGATACGCTTCCTTGTCCTCCGTCTCGAACCTCCGCGATCTCTCGTTCCACACGATCTTCGGCGCTCCGGCCGCTCCTCCGCTTCCACTGCCCGGCGAAGCCATGACTGTTACCTCCGTCAATTTATTGACTCTTCTTATGCTGCCTTGTTTGCCAAAGTATTCTCGTATCTATTCACACTGATTCATTCCATGTGTAATGGGTTGTTTAGATTTCTTCAATTTTGATTCATTTAAGTGCTGCTCTTTCAGTTTTTTTTTTAGATCAGGGTCTTAGTGCTGGTCTTTCCATTTTCTTTTTGTTTTAGATCTTGTTTTTTAATCAGTATCCATTTGAAAAAAAACCATCAATTTTTACATTCAGAGATTTTGCAAGCATGAATTTTGTTAATTTATTACTAGTAATTATGATAGCCCATTTTTCGTTACGATTTTTTTTTTCAATTTGATTTGGTCCGATTTGATCTTGTTTGTTCATGTCTGATCTGGTCTGGTCTAGTCTCTGTGTATTTTATAACTACCTTTCAAGCCCATGCGATGTACAGACAGTATGTAATTTAGCCAATTTGAAATTTGATTTCTTTCGGATCATATGTAATGTGATTTAAAAGAAAAATAAACTTAGTCTAATATAGAGTCTGTTTGACAATACTAAAATAAATCGAATTAACTTATTTTACTGAAATTGATTAAATTCTGGCTGAATGGGTTGAATGGGTGGAATCTAGGGCTGCACAAGAATAACCCGAACCCGCATAACCCGCCCGACCCAACCCTACTCTAGGACACATTCACACGCACTTAATCGTTCGCTAAGAGATTAGTAGCGATTAAGGGGTCATAAGCTCGCTCGTCTTGGCAATAATTTAGGATCCTGTCGCATGAGAGATCAGCCTTGTCCCCTAAATTATTGTATTCTACGCCGCGAGAGCGGTAAGAACTTAGTAATGATTTGCTAGCCTCAATTAAATTAATTTCATATAATTACGCCTGATCTGCCAGAAATCCGGTTACCCCAGAATCAATCCTTGTTCCATTCGTCGTTAATTAGAAAGAAACCAATCTATTTAATTAATCACTCATTCACATTCGTTTAATTTTCCAAACCAACCAATCTCGCACGTCATATTTATTTTATTTATTTCTTTTTAATCGCTGAATTTATTTAATCTTTAATTTCCTTTTGTCCGTCCCTGTGGATACGATACTCGTACTTCTACCCTTTACTACAATCTATTTTAAGTGCGAGAAAACTCAGATTCATCTTTAATAATAATAATAATAATAATAATAAGGTTTCCTTTTGTAAAAAAACACAAATTTCGAATTGAATCGATTAATACATGAAACTAGTCCACCTATAGAGCTGATACACATACACCCAGATATACCCAAAGTGGTCATAAAACAAAATAAGTAAAAGTAAAGAAAATATCCACTAATGTATAATCCAAAATATTATGTCTATCCGATTAGTGTCATGTCATTTATGATGTTTTTAATTATACTAAAAATTCTAGTTTGTTCCTTCAAAAAAAAAAAATTCTAGTTTGTTCTGTTCGTTGGACAATTAAATTAAACTTGAAAGTTGGAAGAATAAAAAAGTCTTTTAATATTCCTTGTAAGTTTCTAGGATCATTAAATGACCTAGAAATATGAAGAGTTTTTATTTATTCTAGATTAATAATTACCTAGGAACATGAATGATCTAAAGTATGAAGAGTTAGATATCTCATCCTATAAATAGTCCATCCCTCCATTGTATATTTGTATGTGTGTTCCAAGTGAATGAAATATTATTCCTCCATTAGAGTTTGAATACCTTCCTCCCATTTCTCTCTGCACCGTTCTGATGTGCTATGTTTAAATATGATCTATTCTGATTTGAACTGATCTGGTTTGAAAAATGTTTTTTGGACTAAAAAGTACTCATAAGATACATGACACTTTTTCATACATTATACTTCTAAGTCCTAACACTTTTGATAATCTTGAATACGTAGTACTTCCTCCATTCTTTAATTTTTGCAACATTGTAATTTTTGCACTATTAACATCTTTTACTTTGACCACGATTTTCTACTAATATACACAATCAAATTATTAAGTATAAAATGTTATTGAATCCTTATCAATGTGAATTTCTAAAATATCAACTTTTTATACTGTTTACTACTCCGTGATACATAATTAAATATAATTACAGTCAAAGTTGTGCGTTGGCAAACGTGAAGTCAAACTGTTGCAAGAATTAAAGAATAGAAGATAGTATATACAACTTGAAAATGACACCGCTATATGGTTAACGTTTTCAAGCTTCGATCTCATAGTTTCTTTTGAAAGGTGCTTGTAAATAAAAAGTCCACTATGAAAATGACACCTCGATTGTTGACCAATTCAAGTAATTAAGAAACTTTAATTTTCTATCAAATTTGATGTTCACATTTGTGAAAAAACATTACAAGGAATTAAACTATTTCCCTCAGCATTATTAGTTTTCTTCACTGCCACTCTTCGTACAGTAGTAATTGCTAAAATGCTAATCGTAAAAAGAGTAGAGTTAGAAGTGCTTTTCTTTGTGTATGTGCATAAATACCGAGTAATATGTATACAGAGAAATCATCTCATCAGGCCGGCCTGACGGGCTGCCCCGTCCGGCCGAGCCCGTTTGGGCACCTTCCCGGTGGAATTTTTTGATGAAATTTTTTGAGCATGTTCCTCATCAAGTCTAGTTTGTCCATACCAAATTTCAGCTCAAAATTAGATCGGGAAGGTTGTCAAATGATTTTTGCAAGTTAACTGGTCCGGAATATGTATTTTCCGGACCAGTTAACTTGCAAAAATCATTTGACGACCTTCCCGATCGAATTTTGAGCTGAAATTTGGTATGGACAAACTAGACTTGATGAGGAACATGCTCAAAAAATTTCATCAAAAAATTCCACCGGGAAGGTACCCAAACGGGCTCGGCCGGACGGGGCAGCCCGTCAGGCCGGCCTGATGAGAAGAGCTCTCTATGTATACATATCCATTTGAGTGGCAGAGCTAGAATTGAAATATAGAGGAATGTTCATGTCAGGCCGGCCTGACGGGCTGCCCCGTCCGGCCGAGCCCGTTTGGGCACCTTCCCGGTCGAATTTTTTGATGAAATATTTTGAGCATGTTCCTCATCAAGTCTAGTTTGTCCATACCAAATTTCAGCTCAAAATTCGATCGGGAAGGTCGTCAAATGATTTTTTCAAGTTAACTGGTCTGGAATATGTATTTTCTGGACCAGTTAACTTGCAAAAATCATTTGACGACCTTCCCGATCGAATTTTGAGCTGAAATTTGGTATGGACAAACTAGACTTGACGAGGAACATGCTCAAAAAATTTCATCAAAAAATTCGACCGGGAAGGTGCCCAAACGGGCTCGGCCGGACGGGGCAGCCCGTCAGGCCGGCCTGACATGAAGAGCACTCTTGAAATATATATGGAGCCTTTTGGGTGACTGTGTTTTTCGGCCAGTTTATAAGGTTTTTGACTAGCTACTTTTTCATCAAACACGTGACTTTTAATTTTGTCGACTGAATTATTTAATAATAAGAAAAAGTAAGGTTGAAGTTACTTTTTCTGACTGTATTGACTAAAGTTACTGTAGATGATCATTTTAGATGTTTTTTATTATATATTTTTTATTTATTTTATTAACACAAATTATTTTAATTTTTTTAAAGCAACAGAATCAGTTAATTTAATCAGGATTTCATAAATTTCAACACAATCGGTGATCGTACCCGGTTTGCAATTGGTTATTGAATAAAGTAACCAAATACTCCGATCCGTATGATATTACTTTCTTAAAGCTCATGCATGATGCATCATGCATGACGAATAATAATAATTTCTTAATACGGAGTATATAGCTAAGCCTTTTGAAAAGTAAATGTGTATACACCAGGGGAGGATCTATGTTAGGGCTATGGTGGGCTGAAGCCTAGGGCAAAGTAAAAAAAATTATTATTTTTAAGGTATTATGTTTAAAAAATTGCATCCAGCCCATCCCAAATTTTTCTATAGCCCAGTCCAATTTCTCAGCCCAGCCCATAATACAAAATCTAAACATCTAAAAATCTAATCTAAATGTTATACACATCACCCTCATACTTAATAATTGGCACTTAGTATATACATATAAGGACTTTATTGACATGTTCACAACAACTTTTAAAGTGCTTGAGTATCTTCAAAAACATTGCCCAAAAGTGAATTCTTGGGCATAAGTTCGTAGTGTACATAAACACTTTTCATGTTTTGAATTTGTGATCCTTTACTTTCTTTTTTTTTTACTCCAAGGGGGTCTGGGGGAAGGGGGGCTGGAGGGAGCCTGGAGTAATCAGGGCTGAAACTCACTCCATTGAGTTTCGCACCCTTGTTTGCCTAGCGAATTTCGAACTCGAGACCTCCCACTAGACACGGTAACCTCACAATCAGCTAGGCTGGAATGCTTGGTTATGGAAATAATGAATTCTGTCAAGGTCTTCGAATTTTTTTATTTGATATCTTGTTAGCCATGAGAGACATTTTTCCATTACACAACCGATCATTCTAGAGGAATTGACAAAAAACGGATGGGAAGGCTTTCTTGAAGAAGTAAAGGAGTTTTGCTCAAAACATGAAATTCATGCACCGAAGTTGAATTTTGAATATACGATTGAACATCATTATCACTTTGGTGTTTTCAATGAGGCAATAGACTTTGTATTGATGGAGTTAAGGACCCAATTTAATGATAAATCAGTAAAACTCCTTTCTTTGAGTGCTTCATTGGATCCCAAAAATTTATATGGGTCATCTAATGTCGATGTTATTTGTACTCTTGCAAGGAATTTCTATCTCGAAAGTTTTAGTAGTCAGGACATTCATGCTTTGGAATTCGAGTTGCAACACTATGTTCATGATGTATTCATTTAAAAAGTTTTAGTATCTACATTTGTTGAATTATGTGAGGAGTTCACTAAGAGCAGAAAATCTGATTCATATGTTATGATAAGTAGATTGATTTTCCTTTTATTGAACTTAGTGTTCTTTTGCAAAATTAGAACGCTCGTTTTATGCCATGAAACTTCTAAAGGCCGCACTCCTTAACAAAATGGATGATGACTTTATACTAAAAAAGACATTACTCTTAGTATAGATGTAGACTCTATTGTTGATTGGTTCGTTTTGTTTCAAAGCCTCGTTGAGAACAAATTTAATGGAGAACTCTTATATTTGATTTTTTGTTTATTTTGAAAATTTTCAATGTA